AACACTTCCCTCCACCTTTGGAAGGTGTGCTTGGAAGTCTGAGTCAGGCACTTCCCTTCTTCCACTGAGAAAACTCCTAACCTACCCTTCACGTAACGTTTGAATGTCAATTGTCCTTTAAGGATCTTAACTTTTCAGTTTTTCTCTTCCCCAGGTCCATTCTGCAAAGGCAGTCACTGTTAACAACTTTGTTGCAACTTTTCTGAAATCTTATAGCTATCCATCTGAAATATATGTTTTGTTTTGTTTTCCAGAATTGACAAAGTACTTGTTTAAGGCACATAATTTATCTTGAATCTCTTACCTTGCTATGACTTAGAGTACTTTACTTTCAAAAAATTAAATTTATTTCATCACTCCTCAAATGATAAACACTTATTTTTAGGGTTTTTCAGTTTGTTTTTGCTTTTTGGGTTGTTTGCTATTTCAAACAATGCTGGTATAAAACATCACTTTATAAGCTCTTTCCCCACTTGTACAAGTTTTTCTGTAGGCTTCATTCTCAGGAAATGGCTCTGCTGAGTGGAAGGGTAAGTGTCTTTAACTTTGGTAGATATATTAAACTTCCCTCCAAAATTTTGACACCATTTTGTACTCCAGCAGCAATAGCATTAAGATACCTGTTTCCTATACCTTTGCCATGTGGATCCTGAGAAAGAAGATACTTAATAAGAAGGGCTCCTGGTGGCTAACTGGGCTCAAATTTAAATAATAATAATAATAGTAATAAAAATAGTAGCCAGAGCCTAGCATCCATTTCTACACAGGGGCTTCTCACACGAACTGCACTCCAGAGAGAAGCCTGCACTGAACTGTGTGCCTCTGCACTGGACTGTCTCCTTGTGCTGTATGTCTGCCATCTGAGCCAGCCCTTATAAAGGAGTCCCTGGAATCCTATTTCAGCCAATAGGACTGAGGCTTACCCCATCCAATTGGAGCAGTGTAGCTATACCCCCATCAACCTACCAGAGTGACTCCACTCTGTCCAATCAGGACAGTGCCTTTTGGACCAATCAAACTGCGAGGATTTGGAGTCCTCATTTACATGAGGATGAACCAACCAGGGACCAGGAGTGGAGACTTCTGTCTCTATCAGCCAGCTTCCCTCTGGTTCTGAGAATATACTTCCCTTTCCACCAAAGACTGAAGACTGCATCTTCCTGGCTGAACTGAAACACTGAAGCTGTCTCCCCGGAGCAAAGCAGTTTGGGGCAAAGCAGACCAAGAGGAGCAGAACAGAGCTGTCTAGCCAGAGAGGGGCTTGGCCTCAGCACTGCCTCGGAGCCCTGCTGTGTTATCATTGAACTGCTTTATAATGAATGAAGCTTTCTTCGTCACTGCACTCCAAATTGGGGATTCCTACTGGTGTTGACAACCATCCATAGGTTGACAGCTATCAGTAAGAATTATCACATTTTTTTCTTTGTTAACTGGGAAATAAAAAGTTCTGACTTTACCTAGGAGTTTCCCATAGGAGTTTACTACGATGTGTGGAGGAGAGAGGGAAAGTGCAGTCTAAGAAGAGGAATCCTGTTTACAGACAGATGTGAGGTTGGATCTGTGGAAGTGGCTACAGTTTGGATAGGTGGGCAGTTGGCCAGATCACACAGGGCCTGGCACACCTGCTACAGAAAGGTGGGACTGTGTTCACAAGGAAACCAGGAGACTATGGTGCTGAGAAGCTAAAACCAAGTATTTTGTTTTTTTCTTTCCATCAGTTTGAGGGAGCCATCTATTCTTGTCAGGGCACTGACTAATACTAGCAGTATCCTTGTAATTGGTTTGTTTGTTCCTAAAACCCTGCTTAGACAAGGTGGATGTGCATGTGGGAGGGGTGGTTTATGTCAGGGGGAAATGTTTAATAAATCTATAGACCAAAACATTTCTTTCTGATATCCGACTGTGCTAATACAAAAATTTCTATAATGGTTTCACTAGAAACTGTACAATTGAAACCAACACTCTCTTACTATTACTGCCACTTTCCCTTCCCTCAATATTAGGTGGTAACAGTATCTTTTAGGAAATTTCATAGGGAAGATTGACACCTGTTCTATTTTTCTTGTATCCCCAAATGAGACAATCCTAACAGAATATTGACAAGTCTTTTAGGTATCCTATTTCACTGCTTCACTCTTCTGGACATAAAAATAAGTATAATGCCACTTTGTCAGAGAACTATAATGTCATTTTAAAAAGGAGCAATGGCCCTAACCGGTTTGGCTCAGTGGATAGAGCGTCGGCTGCGGACTGAAGGGGTCCCAGGTTTGATTCCGGTCAAGGGCAAGCTAATTCACATTAGCTTGGTAGAAATTTGTTTGGTTTTATCTTTAGGTCCAAATTATTTTTTTTTTTCAAAATAAATGCCCTTGGTTGCATTCCGGTCTTGGTTGCGGGCACATCCCCAGTAGGGGGTGTGCAGGAGGCAGCTGATCGATGTTTCTCTCTCATCGATGTTTCTAACTCTCTATCCCTCTCCCTTCCTCTCTGTAAAAAATCAATAAAACACATTAAAAAAAAGAAACAATGATTTTTCACAAATGAGCATATTTATCAAATAAAGTCTAGATCAGTGATGGCAAACCTTTTGAGCTCGGCGTGTCAGCATTTTGAAAACCCTAACTTAACTCTGGTGCCATGTCACATATAGAAATTTTTTGATATTTGTAACCATAGTAAAACAAAGATTTATATTTTTGATATTTATTTTATATATTTAAATGCCATTTAACAATGAAAAATCAACCAAAAAAATGAGTTCGTGTGTCAGAGGTGTCATAGGTTTGCCATCACTGGTCTAGATCATGAGACATATGTAACCAACGATGCACTGTAGGATAATGATAAAATGTCAATATCAAGAGTCATTATAATTAATTATCAATGCATAAACTAAATGGGCCTATTAAATAGGATCACCTTGGATTTGGTTGTTATTTGTATGATCATATTCCAGAATTAAACTTATTTACACAGACTATTAAGATTAGAAAAAAAATTCTGAGGAATTATTTAATTCAGGCTCTGTTGTCAAAAAAATTCACATTAGCTTGGTAGAAATTTGTTTGGTTTTATCTTTAGGTCCAAATTATTTTTTTTCAAAATAAATAAAATCTGTAATTAAAATTTTCTTTTTTTCAGTAATACTTGTTTGTCCTCCTAATAACTGTAGAAAAAAAATTCTACATTTTCTAGGCTTTTCAAATATCTCAAAGGATTATTTATCCTGATAATCTGATTTTTTAAGAATAGGGGCTGACATTTTAGAAAAAAAGTGGACATCTGGCTGACTAGTTATCTTAGGGTATTGCATTTTGAAAAGTATCTTTAGGGACAGGGTGAGGGAATCCAGGTATTCGCCCGTCATGGGTTAGCCTTGCCCTTCCTAATCACTACTTCCTGGCTCATCAGTTCTCTGAACCTCAATCCTTGAATCTAGCATCTTTTGAGTCCCAAATCCTGATTTTGATATCAATGTCCTAGTTGCTCAGAAAAGACTAGGAGAACTCCCTATGACAGCCTGATATGTTTGGGAGTATGTGATGCCAAATATTACTATAAACTGTTATTTTCTTAATACTTTTAATATTGTGAAAAGCACTGTAATAAACCACTTAGATACATTATCTCTTTTAAATTCTGACAGGGAGATAGTCTGGTTCTTGCTTGGCAGCTGAAGAAACCGAGATTTTCAGAGAGGTTAAATACATTGTCTGTGGTCACGGAGCTGACCAGGAAAGGAAGGGCACTGTTTGACAACAAACTCACATCCCTAACTCTACAGGGATGGGATGTAGGTTGACAACTTCCACTCTGAACGGAAGACTCTACTACTGAGTTGAGTGACAGCTTCAGACAAATGGAATTCGCATATACAATCAGTTAATTTGGATTTCACTCATTGAATATGTGTTTAATTTAGCTTCTATTATTAATAAAATTTTCTGAGTTAATATTCTAAGATGGATTAACAGATCTTTCAAGTTCTCAGGTATTTACTTTAAGATCAAACTAAGTTGCCAGTGGCAGTGTGATCTGGTTTAGGAAAACTAGTACTTTAAAGGAAGAATTTATACTTAATGTTGAAAATAATTTTTCAGGATGTAAATCTGAGAAAGTCTCTATATCAAACCCAAACAATTTTTTTCTCAAGTTAAATAAAAGTAGCATGAATGATTGGGAGTCATATATATGGCAGCCATAAATGAATCCATTTATTTATTTTAGAATTTGATTGTTCCTTTTAGATCTCATTTGTAAGTTGGTATTTAAATGACTTAGTGAATAATGTTATGTAAAGTCCAAAATATAATGGAACTAGATAGCAATGACAATTATGCAACATTCATTCAGTAAACATTTACTGAGACTCAGTATCTGCCCAACATTGTGCCATGCACTGGGGTGCAGCAGTGAAAAAAGAAGGTCTGTTGCTATGGCTCTATTGTCTCATGAGGACTGAGCTAGTGGCTGGGTCAGTGCAGCAACTCTGCTAAAACTCAAGTTTATGTTAAATTAAATTTAATCTCATCCTTTAGGAGGGGGAATTTTCCCATCCTCGTGGTTATTTTTGAGACATTAAGTGACATAATACATGTGATTACTAGTATAATAAGTGATATGTTGAAGTCATTCCATATACATTAATAACATGTAGAAAGAACAATCTATAATAATAAAAGCATAATATGGTAATTAGACCGGACGACCTTCCGGATGAAGCCGCGGTGGCTGGGGGCCAAGACAGAGGCCCCCAGCCACCGCACCCAGGCAGAGGCAGGGGCGGTGACGGGGCCGAGCCCCTTGCACGAATTTCGTGCACCAGGCCTCTAGTTAAGTATATTATACAAATCAATGTAGGATAAGTCAGGGGAAATATATTAATCTTAGCAACTAAAGCAAAGACTTGGTAACACATATCAGCCCTTATGTATCTGAATGATTTTGAAGCATGACAATTCTTAAGTAGGTATTTATCAAAAAACAGAAAGTGTACTCACCAAAGTGTTCAAACTGCATACACTATTGAGTCTTGCCTTGTTGAAGAGTGAAAAGAGAAGTAGATTTGGCATCTGGAGATCTTAAGGGTTTTTTCCTTATCTGTAAAATGATAACAGTAATGGTACCTTTCATATGAGGATGTTGTGGGTCTCAGAATGACTCTTGTATAAATTATTTAGAAATACAGATATAATCATTACATATAAGCTATTTGATTAATTAAAATATATATCTGGTACATTTTTATATGTACATTATAGATTACGTCCCTAATTCACAGATATCTTGGAAAAACACTTAATTTGAATTTGCAGCACAGTGAATTAAAAAGAATTTCTAACTTGTGAAGTGTGTGTATGCATGTGTTCATGTGGACATATCTATTCTTATCATACATATCAGCTTTAGAAAAAGTCAGGACTAAGTTGCTGAATTGTTTGAGGTAACAATTCATGGGATGATATAATTTAAAATTCTATGACTAGCATGAAATATGTGATTTTAAGGGCCAGGAGCTATCATTCAGTATGACTTCTAAACACATGAAAATAAACTTAAACTCAATATCAGTCTCAGTCGTATGACTTTATGATGATATAATAAGACCCCAACTGCCTTCTGTGAGGGGGAAATAGCCCTAAATCAAAGGCCCTTGATCTTCTGAACTCTGATGGATTTGGGCAGTTACATCTAGCTGCTATACCAGCTGTGAAAAGCTGGACTACTGTGTATCCTGGAGAAGAAGAATTTGTAGCTCTCAGAACATCTTGCAGGGAGGGGCAAGGTGATGGGAGAGGGAATGGGGAGAAAACCCAAATCCTTAGTGAAATCCATTAAAACCCAAAGATGATTGGTATAGATAATTACATACTTTTCTGGTGGAAACTAGTGACAGTTGGAATCTGGGTCACTTTTTTTACATGGAACCAGGACTCCAGGACACAGAAGATAATGTAAGACTTTAAGTCCCTGTGAAGTTGCAGATGACGTTTGGACTTACCAACTGTGAAATTGGTAGGTATTTGAGCAAATTATACCATCAGGGGTCAGAGGCCCCAGCTTATACCTGTGTTATACCAGTAAGACATATACTTACTTATTTGTAATTTTTAACCTGTCTGCTTCTAAAAGGAGAAATAAGCCCTAACTGGTTTGGCTCAGTGGATAGAGCGTTGGCCTGTGGACTGAAGGGCCCCATGTTCAATTCCGGTCAAGGGCATGTACCTTGGTTGCGGGCACATCCCCAGTAGGGGGTGTGCAGGAGGCAGCTGATCGATGTTTCTCTCTCATCGATGTTTCTAACTCTATCCCTCTCCCTTCCTCTCTGTAAAAAAATCAATAAAATATATTTTTTTAAAAATAAAGGGAGAAATAATACAGTTGTATTATTTAGTATAATATAACTTTACATAGTAGAGTTAACCTAGGCCAGTGGTTCTCGAACATGGGGCGGGGGGAGGGAAGATGTGAGGGAATGGGAAGGACATTTTTTCCCTCAGGAGACATGTGTTAATGTCTGGAAATATTTTTAATTGTCACAACCAGGGGTTGCTATTGTCACCTTGTGAGTAGGGGCCAGGGATGCTCCTCATTATATGATGTGCAGAACAGACTCCACAGGGAAGAATATCTGACCCAAAATGTCAATGGTGCCAAGTTGTGAAGCCCTGGCTTAGGTCAACCTTTCTTTATATAAATGAGAAATTGAACATCAGAGAGGGTCAGTGACACATGCCCTGTCACACAGTGAGCAAATAGAAGAGATAGATCCTTTAGTGTTTTTCCCATCACACTATGTAACCTCTAAAAGCTAAAAAATGGAACTGTCGGAAAATAAAGCTTCTTATGGACAAATTTAGGCTTAAGATGTACTAAATACAAAATTGCATACAACTTTAAAACACAGAACTGCTTACATTAGGAAATCTGGGCAACCAGAAAAATAGAGAATTTTATCATGTAATGTACATTTGATTGCATTTAGTAAAACCTATTTTTCATGATATTTAACCAAAGTACTGCCCAGCTAGTGGTTCTTACACTTTAGCATGCTTCACAGTAACTTGGGGGGCTTGTTCAAAATCAAATACCCCTACCCCAACCCCAGAGGTTCTGACTCAGTAAGTTTTGCATGCGGCATGAGAATCTGCATTCTTAAAAAGTTCCCAGATAATGTTGATGCTTCTAGTTGGGAGGTGTCATGTTGAGGACCACTGACTGGCCTAGGACAGGTACTCCATAAACGTTAGCCTAATATTGTAGGTTCTAAAAATATAATATCACTTTATGATGTAATCTCATGTTAGCAAAGATTAATCAATAAAGCTAATTCCCTTAGAGAAACTACAGATAGCAGAAGCAAAACTAACTTTATACCTCCTTTAACTCAAATCCTTTACTTTAAAAATGAAGACATTAAGAGAACTTTTAAGGCTTCATTGCCTAAAAAGAAGAATCCCATTTAGACAATGGGCAAATAAAAAGTATCAAATGAAAATCATTTATAGACCATTTGAGTACTGATAGTGTTTCCTTGAAGATAAGTAAACTCAAAGATCGTGAGTACAACTAAGTATGAATGCATCATTTTTAATATTACAGTTATGAGGAATATTCTGTATGCCAAGCTGAATAAAACCTGGTCTGGTGAGGCGCTTATGCCAAGCTAAGTCTATGGGGAAAGTGCCTATTGACATCAGTAATATAAAATCCGTCCCTGAGGAACTGTAACTGTCTCTTCAAATTATTTGGGGAAAATGTACATGCTTAATCAATTAAATATAGCATAAAATGTTAAGCAGTATATTCCCATCATAAGTAATCAATGTGCTACTGTTGGGAAGGACAATTTTTCCCTCAGGAGACATGTGTTAATGTCTGGAAATATTTTTAATTGTCACAACCAGGGGTTGCTATTGTCACCTTGTGAGTAGAGGCCAGGGATGCTGCTCATTATATGACGTGCAGGACAGACTCCACAGGGAAGAATATCTGACCCTCTATCATGATTAATAGAATGAAAAGTAGCCCATAAGAAATTTATTTTAGTAACACCCATTTTCATTTCTTTAAGTTAGTAAAATGAATGCAAGAAATTCCAGAGACTTAAAACTACCTGTTTACCTAGTGAAGGTGCTCTAATTACCTGCCTTGTGACAGTGCCCCCATTGAGAGACACCCAGTGACTGAATATTCAACTTCCCACTTAGCTCTTCAATCATGAAGACAATTTACACAGCCTGCACTTTACTACCTCATGGCATCCTGTTCAAGGGACTGAACTTCACTGGCCAAGGGCGCACAGGAAGCCAAACCCTCTCAAATGTGCTGCGTTTTTCTTCCGTTGTTTAAATATCCAGCTACGTTCTAAATTTGGTGCCATCTGCTGTACCATCATCTCTGGTTAAATCTTATTAAAATTCCTTGCCCATATCACACTGCTGCTGCAATCTCACCCTGCTACTTCTCCAGGCTTTTCTGCAGCATTCACTAAGAGCCTGCTATTCTAATGAATTCCCACACCAGGACACGGTGTGAGAGTCTAAAACAGAATCAACGCTATACGTTTCTACTTTGATTCAGAGACTGAGTAACTAACTGTTCATGTCAAACCTGAGATCATACCTCCAAGTCCCCTAAACACAGTACAGTTTGAATCAAGGCAGTTAACCCAACATCATTCAGTGCTAGGATTGAATGGCGCTCTTACTGCAGTATTCACCTTGGTACTAAGTAGGCAGGATTTATTATTTGTGGAAGTCACAAAACTGCCAGGTTCGGCAGGCTCCATCATCATGTTATCACAACAGAAAACACATACAGGAAAACATCTAGCTCATTTACAAGGGAAGCAAATTTGCGATCAGACAAGAGCAATGCAGTAGCCAAGAACTGCAGTAAATCTCTTCAAACTAATAGCTACATCTAATCATCTCTTCTACAGCACCTCCGAGCAAATGAATTGCATTCAGAGTTTAAACAGTCAAATCAACATCCATTCCCTGATGGTTAGAGATGATGCTTGATAAACAAACCCTAATTTATGATTCATTTACTCCTTAAACGCTTAAAGCTAGGATTGCTAACACATTTACTGTGCTTATTCAAGCATGCTAACAGATCTGGAATCTCTTAGTAATTTCTCCCTGCACCTCTCAGCATGGCTGACAGGCATCTGCCAAGACTATAGCATATAAACCACTGAATCATGCAAAAATATTTACCCCCAAAAGATGTAGTACAAGCTCAGCTTCCTCCAGCTTCCATAGCCCCTGAAGTGTTAATCAGAAGGTAACAGTTCCATGAGTTTTCACAGGCCAGCAGTGTGTCTCCTACACTTGACCTAGACAGCCTTACATAAGAAGCATCGGGACTGGGGAGCTCGCTGAATGTCATCACCAGCAAGAGTTAGAAGTGTTGGCGGCAGCAGGCAGGCAGGCAGGCTGGGAGTTTGCGTGAAAATCATGAAGTCTTTCTTGTCTTTTCTCTTTTGAAATGTTTTCTAAGGAGAGTTAAGAATGGCTCAGAAACTGGTCTCATTCTTTTTGTGGGAAGAATGACCAGAAGCATAAAAGCTAAATCTTCCAGCGAGTGCAAGACACCTCTTTCAGTGTTTGCAGCAAACCTAGCAGAATGAATAGCTGTCTGCAAAGTACTGTGCCATGACACCTAAGATGAAGGGAATGGTATCGCAAAGTAATGACTCAAAGGCTGCCACCGAGAGCTTTTGTCTGCCTTTAACTCATTGTGGTGAGTAAGGGGAATATGTATGTATGTAATGAGAGTAATAGTTGGAGGTGTGAGTTGGTTTGCAGGATGATAACTAAAGGATTGTAAGGAGTGTTCATGTTCCTTAAACATCTTGCTGCAAGCCAGGTCAGGGCACTTGAAATCTTATATATCACATTCAGCATGGGGTGGGTTAAACTGGTGATGCTTAATCTATTTCAATTTGAAATATTTTTGTGAAAGCAGTAAGAAAAGCAGGTGCCTCTCTGTGGTAGTTTGCAGATAACTTTTAGATGTGTGAATTAATTACTTCCTTTGTCAATACCGAAGAGGAAGATCTGAATTTCAGCATTCAGATTTTGCATATAATAAATCTTTTGTTAGAGTTTGAAAGCAGTTTCTCAGAACAGGGCAATAGCATTCCTGTGCTTTTGAAATAAGCTTTGCTAGGCTCATTTCCAAGTATGGGGTGAATATTTTAAAATAGCAAATTAAAAACAATATACTCTTTCCATCTAATTTCTATTCAATTATCGCAAATGTGTGCAATACATGTGTCCTTGAAAGCTAGAAATAATAAAACCTGTCCTATATGCTGATCCTGAGGATAGTGGCATGGTATTATTAATATAAGATGCATTATATTATTTAATTATATATAAAACTGTGGTTTGATGTGGGGATGTGGGCTAAGACATAATTCCTGAGACAACAGAAATAGAGAAGAAGCCATGCATCATTTAAAAATAATCTTAATGTGCTGCTCTTAGTGGGGAAACTTGTCTACTAATGTGTCACACTGAGAATAGAGCAGGGAGATAAGAGAATTTTAGGTCCATGGAACAATACAATGATCTATATTCACCCCATCATTTCACCCCTAAGGAAACGGAGGTAGAACGAAGTTAAATGGTGTGCTTAAGGTGACACAGAGGAATAGGTGAGTGTAAAGTGGTTTTCCCGATCTTCACAGTATTTTGCCTACTGTACTCCAGTGAATGCTTGCCCTTGGATACTGGCGTAAAGGTATTTTTTATTTTTTAAAATAATAGAAATGGCAAAAACCAAAGCAGAGCAGCACTAGTATTCTTAGCAGTAGACTGCTTTTGGGCAAACAAGTTCTGCAGTGGATAGAATGAGAAATTTCATTCAATTACTTCTCATAGCTAATGAAGTATTGGTGCAACGTTGAATTAAATTTTCAAATGATGAAAGTGTTCTGAAAATTAAGTGATGGACACCATGTTTGTGGTTAAGATCCTTTTATTTTGTGGTGCTAGGCTTTTCCTCTTGTAGAATAATGTTCATGAAATAAACAACACATCGGAAGCAAGGAATTGGAAAATAGAGTTTTTTAAAGAAATACTTAGTCTTATTACTTTTAAGTAAATTGAGACCCTTATAGTCAGGCATTTGTTTTCAACCTTGCACCCCTGCCCCTAGAACAGTGCTTACTGGGTCCTCAATAAATATTTGCTGAATGAATAAAGGGAGGGCTGAAACACATTCATGATAATCCATTTATGGGGGTTGCATATGTTATTTGCCTAGTAGAGTTCCTTGGAGGAGTCATTTTAAGTAATGTAAAAGAAATAATTTATAAGTATGTCAGGTTAATAATCACCATGGTAAATGAATGCTTTTGAAATCCTTGTTAAGAAACTGTTCTTATAAAAAAAATTAGCATTCTCCTTACAATCTAATTGTGTTAAGTTGGTATAGGTTTGACAGCTCATAAGGGTAATCCAACTTTCACTAGGTTAATCAAATAGATGTTTTGTTTCTCTCAAGTGACATTAAGTCAGGTCAAGTGACATTAAGGTCAAATGACATTAAGGTAGGACTTTACAGTCCTGGCAAACCCACAGTCCTCGGGGACCTCAGCTCATTTTTCTTCCGCTTGGCCATCTTATGTGGCTTTTATCATCTAATTTGTTGCCTTGTGGTCTCAAAATGGTTGCCTCATCTTCAGCATCCTGTCTACATTCCAGGTAGGGGGACAGGAAGTATGAAAGGTAAAAGGCAAGTGACAGCTGAATCAGCTCTTTCTCCAAGAGCTTTCCCAGATCCCCTGGAAACTGACTTAATTCTTATGGGTCATAACTGTGAAAAATGCCATCACTCCTGCAGGGGAATCTGGAATAATTGTGTTTTTAGCTGAACCCATTGCCACTTAATAAAACTGGGGTTCTTCTTTTTTTCAGGCAAAGAGGTTTTCTTCCCCCATATTCATTCTCCCTTAGTATTAGTTCAGGTAGTTCTGGTAAAATCATAAAGCATTCAGTGTGATCATTTAGTCTAAACTCATTTATCTTCCAAAAGAAGGAAAAGGCTTCTCATTTTAGATCTGGGTCTTCTATGGGGAAAAATAAATATCCTACTTTTGCAATAGAATATTACTTGGGTAACAATGGGATTATACATACACTGTAGTCCAATGGATGCAAGGAGGAAGATGTAGACAAACTTCTTAGAATGAAAAGGGAAAATAATCTCATGTACCATTTCACCCCATATTCACCCTCAAAATAAGGTTGTCTAAAGTGGTTTCTTTCTGAAAAGATTCTGACTATGGAAGAATGAATGAACATGGAATTAAATCTCCAATCCTTTAAATTTCTGCAATTACTAAGTAAAATGGCGTCTCACTAATTTAGAAAAGAAATTTTTACTTTTTTTTTTCATTTTCAGTTCTGCCTGTTATCTTGTTAGAATCAGCTAGACTGAAAAGCACGTGGTTCCTCCTGCTGAGCCGTGGAAGGGCTTTGTAAGATATACAATTAGTTTGCAAGAATGCTTCTCTAAGCCAAAAGCAGCTTTTCATATTGGAACAAAGAATAATACTGATATCTTTTAAAGGACCTGGAACAAGATGTCCCCTCAAACCAAACGTTTCACTTTGAACTTGTAGAGGGTTCCTGCCCTAACTGGAATAGAAGCTCTCTAACTCTACAGGGGGGGGAAAAGGCATTTTTAATTTCTATTCAACTCACTTTTTACATGGAAGATAGTGGACTTCTGAACCAAGTCACAATCACCTTGAAATAACCTATTCAAAAAATTTGAATATTGCACCAGCCTCTACTGCACTAAAAAGCCACATGGAGTATGTTATTCATTTCACTCACTTATAGAAATAAATAGGGGAAATTACTTGCAGAAAAGCAAACTATATCCAGCCGAACAGGTGACAGCAAAATTAAAATATATTCAGTCACTGATAGGTATGAGTTTTACAAATCATAAACTCAAGGGAGAACACAACTGTAACTTTCTTCATGTTCCTATAAATTAATTTCTACTTTAATGTCCCATTTTTGCCTAATGACAGAAAATTTAATTATTTCTAGGCCGGCTCAATCACCTTAGTACTTTGTTAGTTATCTTAGGTTTAACTTGGAAAAATATGAGCTTTTTATTTTTGCCCTTTATATTAGAGTAACACTAGCTTTAGCAACCAGTACCCGCAAAAGTCTTGGTGGCTTAGCACAATGAAATTGTCTGTCTTACTCCTGCAGATTTCTATGTGGTTGTTCCTGGTGGGGAGGTGGCCTTCCATGGAATCATTCGTGAATCCTGGATCTTTCCGTCTTGTGGCTCCTCTTGCCTCTAGGTACTCAGAGGCAGCCAACAGATGGAAAAAGAGATCCTAAAGAATTACACCAAAGGTGACACACATGAACTGGCTTTTATTTCACGGGGGAGAAATAGTCACACAGCTCCACTTAGATGTAATGAAGGTTGAGGAATGTGGTCCCTGGTTAGGCGATTACTTCCCAGAAGGGATTCTAATTTATTTAGTCACCAAGCTATGTCTGCCTGTCTGCCAATCAGTCAACAAACATTTCTTGATTGCCACCCTTTATGACTTCTGCAAAGTCCTCGGGCATTTTTAGTCAGAACTCCAAATTTGGAACCTAACTTTAGAAATGCTGTTTTCAAATAGCAAATACTGGCTTCCTTGTATATTTGAACATGAAATCAGTGAGTACGTAGAGCTCTAAACCAGCTCCCTTCGCTTAAGGCCAGAGTTCTCCTAGGGGTAGAGAATTAAGGCTGTAGATGCTAAAGCAGGTGGCCCAGATCCCTTTGTCCATCCCTTTGTCTCATCTCTTTCCTACCC